GTGTAAGTGTTGTGAGTCAGACATTCTTCTCGAGGGTGGGAAATCATATTGAAATGCAGAACTTCAATGTGCTTTTCAAAATGTCCAATTACAATGTAAAGCTATTTCTGAAAGTTGAGTATAAATACCATTTATTGGTACGATGAGGTAACACATAATAACTACCATAATTTTAAACATTTAAAAACTCCACACTGTCATCTGGGACATTAAAATAAATACACAAAAAACATCTCTAAGCTTCAACGTTATTACATTACATGTCACTTGTTAGACGCTTTTATCCAATGCGACTTACATACTCAATACTGTGGACAATCCCCACAGGAGCAATTTGGGGTGAAGTGTCTTGCCCAGGGACACAACGACATGCTGACTGCAGTGGGGTTTGAACATAGACTGTATATATAAATGGACGTAGTGTCCGTGACGTCACCCATAGGATTCTGCAGAGTTGCCGTGAAGCCCTTAGTAGGCGGAGTCGGCCACTAACGGCTCGACTGTGACGTCAGAGTATAATCCCGCCTGCTCCAAATAAGGGCAAAGAGGCGGAGCCGAGGTGGGACCTGCTGCCTCCGAACTGGAAGTAAACAGAGCTAGCTCAGGCTAAGAAGCTAAGCTAACATGAAATACATGCATACCAAGTTACTGCTAACAGTGTAGTTCCCCTATATAAACGTTACATTCATAATCAAATGAGACAATCTGCAAGAGAATTAGCTATATTTTGTTATTATTAATGCTTGTCATTCACACGTTGAGAAAAGACGGACTCCATCGCCCGGACCTAACGGAGCCGCAGTGGGCTAGCTCCGGGACGCCGGCTGGAGCTAGCCCCCTGCGGCTCCGTTGGCCACCACTGGGATAATTGGGTCCCCTATTAACATTTGCTCCCGTTTAGCATTATGGGCGTCATAGCCATAGACTATAAAAGACTTACCCAAGGCTGAATCATAAACTAAAATGTATATGTATGCATAAAGGGTTACGTCCTTAGCTGGCTAATAAGTAACAAGCTAAGCTACCAAGCACACAAACACCTGCGAACGGGGTTAACATGTATAATATGATCATTTTAGACTTCTTGGAAGTTCTGTTAGTACATTCAAGAGCACAGCACGACATTTTAATTATCTGGTATTTGTAACAATATTCCCTAAAAGGCACAATCACCACGAACACGGCTAAAACTAAAGGGTCAAGTACAGTACTATGACTAACTAACGTTGTAGCCTCTATGGTTGCTGTTAGCTGACAGTGAGGCATGTACATAATGTACATCAAAGTGACCACGCCCTAATTTATGCAAAAACTTTAAGACCTAATATAAATAAAAGGGTCGTGTTAGAAAACAATTCACTCACAGATTCATAATCATGAAGGTGGAATCTAACTATATCGATAATAATATTTATTGCATCCATGGGTAGAAACATGTTTTTTTTGCTGTAAAGTTGGGCATTTTAACATGGGGGTCTATGGAAATTGCTCCTTTCTGCAGCCAGTCCCTAGCGGCCCATGTATGAACTGCAGTGTGTGGCACTTCCGTATTGGCGTCCCGGCTGTTCCCCAGTTTGCCGCTTGGTTTGAACCTGTGACCCCCTGATCCGAACACCAACGCTCAACCCACTGCACCACACGCCTCCTTATTATGAAAAGTTATCACTTTACAAAGTCTATGGTTTATGGTTTGCTACACACTATGTTTTGTAAGGAGCAGATAACTGGCAACAATGCTCTGTACTATAATTTAAGAATCGATATTACATCACAGGACGTCAGGTTTTTTTTATTCAATTAATAGACATTCAGTATTTTACTAAACAGGAATGTTTCTTTAAGTCTAGGTGTGTAAACTCTAAACATTTTAAAAAGGCCTAGCCTATGTAGTTTGGAAGGGCAGGACATTTTCGGATAATGTTTTTAATGAATGCAAGACTCTTAACCCAAAGCAGGAAGTCACGCTCTATAAGAAATGCACTTCCTATATAATGTAATTTCCATGTTTAGGGCAGTTTTCTCTGTTTTGTTGCCAGGCTGAGACGCATGATACAGGATGATAGATCCGGTTCTTACCTGCAACGGGAATGTTGCCGACTTGTTCCCAACATATCCCCTGACAACATGACTCTGAATGGACAGCACACGACACTCCATTACCGCAATAACACAGACTGCGTTTAAAAAAAACGTAGAGACAACAGACGTGATGAATCCTAAAGCTGCATTAAAAATGTGCACAGGCTCTAACACGCGGACACTAAGCATGTGAGCAATAACTCCAGCATTGAAGGACAGAAGCAACGGTGCTGCTAGTGACATTTAGTTTTTCTTCAGGCAGCTACAAAGACACCTAAACGGTTGCATTCAATGGCTCCTGACGAATGTGGGAGACACTAGCGTCCTACCAAAATCACGGTAACTTCAGCTTCAGTAAATTGACGATTCACGATAGCTTTGCAATTTTATATTAAAACAATATTCAGAGAAGTGGTGAAAGAGGTATTTAGATATTGTACTCAAATAACAGTAGAAATAATGCAGTGTGAAAATACTTAATATTAAAAAAACGTACCAAAGTAGAACAAATGGCAGTAAATAAACTCATCACACTAAATGTAGTGAAGTAAAAAACACAATTTGCATTCATAGTAGCCTAAACTTAGCCTAAGTTAAAGTATAAAATAACATTAAATATAGATACTCATTTCATTTAAAGTATAAGTACATAACAATTCAACTTAAGTTAAAGCCTCATATTAGGTTTAGATAAACATTAGAATAGTATTTAGTATTTAAAAATGTTGTAAACTATATTTAATAATTTGTATGTGTTATGGTAAATTAAATAATGTCTTATAAGAGCTTTGAATCATCTCAGCATGCGTGTATGAGAGCTTACAATACAACAACTAATGATTGATTAATTTATTTGTGTGATTCTGTGATGCTTATAATGAAATTCTCCCCCTGTGAATTCATGTATAGCATTTTCAGAATACAAAGACATTTATTTACTGAAAACATTCCACCAAAGAGTTGGATATAAAAACGTTTTCAATAATTGAATAAATAGATATGTTTCAATCTGCATCAATAAAAATACACAGCAGTAGAATATATAGTGCCGATTGTGTTTGTGGCCGCGACTTTGGAAGAAGAAGAACAAATAATTATTCATTAATGTGTGGAGCTAAATGTAAGATACACTGAGGGATAGTTTATTCTCTAATGCCTGACCCCTTATCTTAATCCATTTGAACAACCGTTTATGATCCAAAATCAAGTAAATAGGCAAGTATGTTTGTTACCACTAGAGGGCACAAGAGAGCTGAGAATTAAGTTGTGGATCAAAAGCACAATCTCAATATTACAAGATAGGATACTTTTTATATTTATATTTTAATAACATATCACAGAGAGGTATTTAGATTATGACCGTTTTTAAAAACCTGCTGTTCTGGCTGATTGGGGTTCAGGGTGACGGGGTGGAGGCAGCTAGTTTCAGATAAGGAAAACAAAAGATGCAGTTAAAGGATCAACTGAGCAGACCACAAAGCACAGAGGCCCTGACTGGAGAAGCACAGAGGCCAGATAGAGGAGAGGGGAGCCAGGTGGATGATCTGAACGCTGAGCTCATCATCGCTGACATACACAGAGATGACTTTTCTTGTGGATCATTGATAAGGAAGGTCTGGAGAAGCTCGACTGAAGTTGTGAAGAGCACCATTGTACTCATTTTAAACTGAACAAATACAAAGTACAATGGCATGAATTGGGTATAGTATAAGGTAAATCAATGAAGAAATAATATATTGTATTGGGTTGTTAAATATGTAATAATAAACAGTTTTACAAGACCACTGTTTACAATCATTAAGGACTCTGGTGGAAGGACCAGATAAAACAAGTTACCTGGAAAATCAGAATACATTACAAATCTTCAATTACAAATCTTAAATCAGACAAAATGCATTTTTACTGACATGAACTAAAGGTAAAGTTAAATTGTAACAACAAATGAGGTACACAGACATTTGATTGATTGCTTTTGCTCTCTTTTAGATGATTTATGCTCTATAGAACATGTAAGGGCGCATCACAAGGAGAGTGATACAAGCAGTAGTAGTTAACAACATGGGGCGAACTTTGAAGTTTTTGAGCACATGGTAATAACCCTTGTAAGTGTCTAGTGAGCACTGAGGAAAGATTGATAGCCAGAGGGAGGAAATATATGTGTGTTCAGTGGTGCACCTGGTTGGTATCAGTCTGCATGTCAGGCCAATGGTCGAGGAGAAAGTGTTCACATCCTTTTCAACTACACCCAAAAATACTCCATACAAGGAGCATTACCCTGCATTTAAAACTTTTGAATATGTAAGTATTGTGTGTAAAAAGTGTATAAAATACTTAAATGCTCCCTCTGAGTATTATTGTTACAGTTTTATACAATATTACACTATATGTTGATTTTAAGTTATTGAAAACAACACTGACTGAATAAAATAAATATTTGTATGATGCTGAAATGTGTGGAGTTATATACAGCTGTCAAATAATAATATTAATGGTAATGGCAATATAGTAAAAGCAATAGCAATAGTTTCCCTCTGAATTGTATTGGAGTGGAACTATTTGAGGTAATTAAATGTGAATCCTTATTAGAGTACAAATACCTTTACAAATGCATGTGAATGAACTTGTGTTGCTGACATATCTCATGGTTTGATATATTTTATGGTTTTGTAATGAGCTTTATATTAATGCCAATGTTTGTAATTTCAGGTCCAGTAAAAAAATATATACCCACAATTGATAAATACATCACTTTTTATTATTCATTTAATATGCCAGCATATATAAAGGGAGGTCAACACACTTAGGGGCTATGGTTGTTCCAGTTGGCATTTCCCTGCCTTCAGCCTTCTTAAATATCCCTCCGCCGAGCGCAGCCTGAACGCATCCACATAGAGGGGAACTAGTCCCGCCTCTGATGCTAATGTCTGGCCGGGGAGGAGCCAGGTAGCCGCTACACTGACACGTAAGAATCCAGCGTAAAATGGAAGGAAGAAGTTACATATTTTTCTCAAGTTGAATATCGATACAGCTGCTTAGACTCTGACTTGATGTACAGTTGACCCGTCCCGGACCAGAGGCCTGCTCGGACGCTTTTTGAAGCGACGCGGGGCTGTCAACCACAGCAGCCGACACACAAGATGAGATTCTCTGCGTTTGTTTCTGTGCTGCGGTCGGTCGGCCCGGTGGTAATCGGTATTTCTTTAGGGTTTACGTTGAGTTTATTAAGTGTAAACTGGACAGACGAAGCGTGTTACCTAGACGGTAAGGAGGGTGAGGGTGTGGGTGTGACTGTGGGTCAGGATGGACTGCTGAAAGGAGCCCGAAAGCCCAACTCTATTTCCACTGGCAACGATGTGGAGTCCGACGAAGATTTTGAACCGCGAATAGTGCCAAATAAACAAGTCCAGCAGAGCGCCACAAAGAAAGTTTTCAGGTAAGCTTTTTATGGCCGTTCACTGAAGCTGGTCAATAGTCTGTAACTAGTCTCAGAGTGTATGGCTTATACTTGGTTTGAATAAAGGCCACATTATTATCACTACCAGAGGCCATAGCTCATCTTCAGTAATGCATGAATGATAATAATGGTGTTCACCTGCTGCCAGATGTATAAGTGCCACTCAATATCATGTTGGTATGATATTTTAAACCAACAACATGTTGCATTACACTTACAATACAAAACCAAATGGCAGGTATAACTTAGTTAAATTCTTCAGTAGCCTTTCCTCAGATCACTGGTCTTGCTGAAATTGCCACAGAAAGTCTGACCAACTGTAAGCCACAACTTCTTCTGCTGGTCTCTACCTTTTATATTTACAGTCTATGGTTGCTTACTTTTTCTGCCAGAGCTAATATTAACTACAGTTCCATGCTGAATGATTTCTTTTCACATATTCTTGGTAAACAGGCAGGGTTTCCAGGATAGAGACCTTGTTTTAATGTTAGCCCTCACACCCAAAGTGGTTGCATTGCATTCCATTCTGAGAAAGAGACTTTTCCCTGAGGTGTTCTGAGGTTAGAACTTAAAACTGTTCAGCATACAGGTATCACAGGCAACCAGTGCCATTTATTGCTTTGGAATAGAATGGTAGGTATGCAGCTAGAGACCATTTTTTTAATGATAAAAAAATACTCTTTGATTTCCCCGGTTATGACAAATTGATCATTGAATATCAAAACAAAAATCCAGAGACTAAATATCTTATTTTGTCTGACCAACATTTCAAATCTCTAAAATCTCAAACCTATTTCATTAACTTTTATACATGTTTAAGAAATGTATCACATTTTTACATACGAGATGTTAGTAGCATAAAATGTTTGATTTTGTCTTTCTTTGGAGAATAGTTTCTGATTTGTCTGCTAATCAAATATTCTACAAATTGCCTTTGTGTGGTTCTTATTAAGAGGCGTAATAGATCCAATGCACAGTATAATAGAGGCATGGGTAGGGTGTGCCATGTTTGCAAAGATCAATCAAAATTCAAGTCCTTGCACGTTTACTTTTCCAGAGAGTTTGTGTTTTTCCTTGGTAGTGTGTAATTAATCACACAATTGCCATGGCATCATCAAACCCACAGATCTGATGAAATATGTTGGTGTCGAAATAATCATTAGTAGTACTTTTGTGTGACAGGCAGTTTATTTTGTATTCAGCATTGGTGAACATGTGTCGTCTAGTTTTTGATTCAACATTTATTCATTAACTGTGTGCTGTGTTTTTCAGGGCTAAATACATAAGCACAGAGTTGGGGACGCGAGAGCGTCTGTTTGTCGGGGTCCTGACATCCAAGAACACCCTAAACACTCTGGGTGTAGCAGTCAATCGCACCATCAGCCATCACCTGGACTCTGTGATCTTCTTCACAGGCATGCGCAACCGCAAAGTCCCTCATGGCATGTTCGTGGTCTCTCACGGAGACGAGAGACTGATATGGAACATGTATCAGAACATCAAACACATCTTAGACCATTACATCAATGAATTCGACTGGTTCTACTTCATCCAGGATGACGCCTACACAGAAGCTGACAGGATCAAAACCCTGGTGGATCACCTGAGCATGGATCGAGAGCTCTACATGGGCAAACCGGAGGAGTTCATAGGAGGAGAAATGGAAGGGAAGTACTGCTACGGAGGGTACGGGTACATCCTGTCACGTACCTTGCTCCTCCGACTCCAGCCCTACCTGGAAAACTGCAGGAACGACATCCTGAGCGCAAGGCCTGACGAGTGGCTCGGGAGATGCATCATTGATTACACACACACCAACTGCGTCAATGAATTTCAGGTAGGAGTGTATTTTCTATTTTCTATCAATAACACATTTTTTTTATCCATAACATTTTTTAATGGTTGCTGTTAAAAGGGAACATAATGAGGCAGTTCAGAGTTAAAATGAATGAAAAGCAACAGAGGAAAATAATGCCACACAGTCTTTAGAGCATTTAGGGCTCCTTCTCGACAGAATAACAAAACTATCATTGCCGGAATCAAGCTTTGCCTCAAGGACAACACTTAAACCTGAAAGACAGCTATATAAAAGTGTAATTACCATTGTAGCACAAAGGTGGTATTTATATTACAGAGTAGATTGCTAATACCCTTTAGCCTTCCCCCCCCCCCCACAGTTCCAAGGTGGAATAGTTGAACAGGTAACAGAGCGCAGCTGATTTCAGCCTTGCTTAGGTTCAATGGTGTGAAAATCCCCTGTGGGTCAACATGCTCTGCTCCTGTAATGTCATTAGCATTAAGGTCAAGCAAGGTCTGTTTGTCCCAGTGCCCTCTCGGGTGATTGTTTGTTGCATTCAGTTTGCATCATCCATGTTTGTTTGTGGAACATATTCAAATATATTGTCAGAATGTTATCAAAGGAAATGCAACCTTATTATTTATACACCAGTATTTTGAAGTCGATGTATTCCACTGTCTTTTGCTTCCATGTCTTCCTCCTTGGCCACGGTGCAGGATACCATCTTGTTACACAGTTGAGTGTGAGTTGCATGGCTAACTAAAATGCCTGGAGCCAGACGAGCTCCAGCTCCCCCTGAACGAGGGAGGGGGAGCTGGGGGAAAGTTAAAAGGCCTGGTGCGGTTGAATAAATCAGCTTGAACACAGAGCCAGACATCAATTTTCTGTTAAGAGACAACATTGATGACAATTAGGCACGGATAATGCTTCACTAAGCGTACCACTACAGGCTGTTGGTAAACATTTGCAACCGAACGGCCTCACTGCTCAGCTAAGCAGCATCTCCATTCTTTGTTCTTTTAATAGCTTGATCAGATTGGATTCACTTTTTTAATCACTCAAGCTCCTTAGGACGCTACTCTGTTTTCAGCTTAAGTGACTGTGTCTTAAGTGGGATTCCGGTCATTTATGTTATTAGGTTTCAACCTTTTAAATTCTTTGCTCTTGCAGTTAAACCTGATGCTGCCTGTGATCATAAACACTGGAGAGCTTAATTAAGATAAAGGATCTCTTGAATCCCATAATCCCAGAACAAATTAGATTCCTGAAATGTTCAAAACTTTGACAATAGAAAGCTGTTGTATAACAAAAGAATGTTGGATTGTTGCTGAATGAATCCCTGTCTTGCCTTCACTATGCAATTATGGTTGAAACCAGATTGTTTGCTGTGAAGATGAGCCCTAGAAGCTGCCTAGATAGCGTGTAATGTTTGTTTGAATAGCAGCACGGCATAAAACTTATGCTTGGAGAAACGTTAGACATGTTTCTGTCATTCAGGATTGAATATGCCTCATGTAAAGACGTCTCTTGTTTCTTCTCAGGGGCTTCAGTACCACCATTATGAGTTAGGAAAAAACTCAGATCCGAGTAAAGAAGAAAGTGAACAGTTCAAGAAAGCTCTGACTGTCCATCCAGTGGCTGACCCTGAACAGATGTACAGGCTGCACCGATACTTCACTGAGATTGAACTCCAGAAGACCTACGATGAGATTGCTAAACTGCAGGTAAGCTGCTTTTCAAGTGCCACAAATTACCTATGGTTCAGTCAAAAATAAAAACCAGGCTTTTCTTTGCTTGCCTCTGGCAGGTCAGCTAGATCTTAAACACATCTTGTGTTTCCACAGGCAGAAATAAAGAACGTGAGTGTGGTTGCTTTTGATGGCAACCGGAGTTCCCAGTGGCCTGTGGGGATCAATCCACCGTTTGAACCAAAATCTCGGTTTGAAGTTCTGAAGTGGGAATACTTTACAGAGGAAGAGATTTATTCATGCATCGATGGCTCTCCAAAGTGTGAACTGCAGGGCATTGACCGCATAGATGTGGCCGATGTCATTGATGTAGCTTTGCTAGAGCTGAACAAGAAGTATAAGCCTGTCCTTCACCTGAAGAAGCAGCAGCTAATTAACGGGTATAGACGCTTCGACCCCGTCAGGGGCATGGAGTACACCTTGGACCTTCAGCTGGAGGTGGTGAACCAGAAAGGTCACAGCCGTTCTATCACTAAGCGAGTTCATCTGGTGCGACCTTTGAGTCGGACTGAGATCATCCCCATGCCCTACGTCACTGAAGCTACCAGGATTCACATCATTATACCTCTTACTCTGCAGGACCGGAGCTCTGTGGATCATTTCCTGGGAGTCTATGCTTCAAATGCTTTTGAGACTAGTGAAAATGCCATTCTCACATTCTTATTTATTTATGACCCAGTAGAGGCACAGCAAGTCAACCAGAATGATATATTCGCCAGTGTGAAGGCTCAGATAAACACTTATGAACGTAAATACCCTGCAGTAAAAATCCCATGGATAAGTGTCAAGACAGAAACTCCATCCCAGATCAAATTCATGGACATCATCTCAAAGAAGCACCCAGTTGACTCGCTGTTCTTCCTGGCTAACATTAAAACAAATGTCAATTCAGAATTTCTGAACCGTTGCCGCATGAACTCCATAAACAACTGGCAGGTGTTCTTCCCTGTCCATTTCCAGGACTTCAACCCTGACGTGGCTTATCACAACCAGCCACATCCGGCAACAGTTGATCTGGTCAAGGACGCAGGCCATTTTGACCGCAGGTCATTTGAAGAAGCGTGTTTTTACAACTCGGACTACATGGCAACTCGAACGCAAATGGTGGCAGACGTCCAAGAGAATGAGGAGATTCTAGATACCCTGGACATCTTTGACATGTTCTTAAACTATTCGGCCCTGCACGTGTTCAGGGCAGTGGAGCCAGCATTGCACCAGCCGTACAGCTACCAAGCCTGCAACCCACGGCTAAGTGAAGACATCTATCACAGATGTGTTCAGAGCAACCTGGAAGGTCTCGGTTCGTGCTCCCAGCTTGCCATGCTACTGTTTGAGCAAGAACAAGGAAACAGCACTTGAAACCAGAATTAAACTTCCATTATATTGAGGTTACAAACTGTGTTTGTTGCTCTAAAACCTTATGATGCAAGCTAGCACAACTAAAGTCTGGAGAACTGAGGTGACATATGTGATGCTGCCTGACATTCTCTAGCATTCTTTAGTTTGAGGTTGTAGCTAGCTTGGAAAAATGAATGCAGTACATTCCGAATGAAAACTTTCTTAAATGTTTACAATGCATATGAGTTGCTAGAACCAAATATTTTGCTACTGTGACGATTCTAAAAAGCTGCAATTTACAAGTTTTGATCACTTGTTGGGAGAAACTGCCAGCAGCAGAGCCTTGACGCGGTGCTGGTTCATCCAGCTGTTATGTCTTTGGTGTCCAGGGGACATAGGTGACCCAATGGTGTCGTCTCTCGTGTTCAGTTCAGATATTCAGTGGGATCAGAAGAATTAGCTGCAATACTTTCACATTTTAGAATGGCATTTGATTTAAAGGCACAATGAGTAGGATTGTATTTGTATGTGTATAGAATGGGTGTCTGTTTCAGCAGCTCTGCCTGTATTTTCTATTTTCTGTTCATTTTGCTGCGTTGGGGGCTTTTTGTGTGCACCAACATTTATAAAACGCAGCAACCAGGTGCCAGATTGTAAGCACAGATCAAAGAAAAAGCCAAAAGAATGGTGAACACAGTGCCAAAAAAATGCAAATATAGTGTGGTGAAACACCATGCGGACAATGCTTGCACCAAAAACGTGACCCTGAGGTTTTGCTTTTACACGCTGGCGACCACAGTAAACCTCATTGATCCGGTGAGGAGAGGCTGACTGTGAATGTTGAAAAATCCTACTCATTGTCCATTTTTATTGTTAATTTCAAAGATATTGTAAGATGGGGCTTTAACGTGAAGCTCTAAAAGATAATCGGTATATTGCACCACAGGTTGTGTGCTCATTCACATTGAAGCATTGAGCTTTTTACAAAGGCACATCTTTGTATATGTGCCTTGACACTGACTGTTGGGTGGGTGGGAGATAGTATCTTCCACTGTGGATAAAGCCTGTTACACAGCTGGGAGGAATGAATGGAGAGTCAGTTAACTTTTCTTTTTTTTAAGGTGACAAGTTTTAAATGTGCCTCTAAGCAGAGGAGGGGTTGATCTTCTGTTGTGGATGTGGATGTGGATGTATCGGTACTGGACACCAGCAAGTTATTAGTATATTATAATGTGCAATATTACAGATAACACAACTGGCTATATGTCCAATGGAGGGGGACTTTCTATTTCAAAGACAATTGCTGCAAGTACAGCAGTGTGTTTATCACAATACTGTTCATGACATTGCATAAAGCATCTGGTGCTTTCTGTTCAATGTTAAGTAAATACACTGTATTTTCTTTTGAAAAGACCTTTTAATGTATTTTGCTGACACTAGACACTTTTCATCATCAAATTTGCTTTGAAATACATTTAGGCAAGTCCATTTTATTTAACTTTAATCGGATTCAAAGTATTTATTGGAAACGCTACATCTGCAGTGGTGATCCTCAACAGTGTTTGCTGTATTTTCTGCCATGTGAACAAAGACCGCGGAGGTCATTTTTATAACGCATCTCTTTCTTTAGAGAGCAGAAGAGTATGACACTAATAATGTGCAGAAATGGAAACTGAATCTTCCAAAAAACCACTGTGAAAGACGGAGGGCTCGGATTACAATATGAAGTTATTGTGGTGATCTGGGTCGTCTCTGCCTTCTGTAAACGTGAGAAGCTTAAAATCAAGCGAACGTGGCAGATTAATCACCCCGTGTTGTTAACACCGCCGCCATCGCTGAGCGAAGACTTAAGTGTTTTGTCCATAACTTATTTATCTGCCATTTCTCTATGACTTATGCAGATTCTGAATACTTCCGCACTAACAGAGGCTTCCACAGCATTCTCTGTACATTTATAAATATTTTATAGATTCTATTTTTAAGCTTATTGTAGCTTTATGTACACAGCAAATGATACTTTTATTATATTTGGTGACAAATTAAACGTACTGTATTTTGAGCATTGAAAATCATGACATTTGACCATGAAGATAATTTAAAATGTATGTTTGCATGTAATTCATTCAAAGAAGCAGGCAAATACCTTTTTTATTTCTATTGATGTTTGAACCTATAGGTTTACATTATTTTATGGATATGGGTACTAGTATAACCAAAGCGATACATTTTAATGAATGCTCATCACATTTAATTGTGTGCTGTAATTCCCAAATGAACTGTGAATTATTGTAATTTTTAAATAAAGAGTATTTGTATAACATTTCTTCTTTGTTGTTTTGTTTTAAGATAAGATTTATTTTGCATTAAAGCTACAGAATCCAGTTTGTCCTTTAGGTGTCAGCAGAAGAGCGCGTAACTGTCGGCAGGTGAAACACCAGGACATGCAGCTGAGGTGAGCAACTGAACAACATGTAGAAATAATTCTTCTAATACCCACTGGTAATAATGTCATCTCCTCCATGTTCCCAGCGTGCGCTCAGTGGCCTGCAGTTAACATTCCTGACCATGTCAGAGCCGAGGTATTCCTGATGTCTGGGCTGGGTAAAAACAGGAAAAACGTTGCAACCTTAATTACAGCTTTAGTTATTTCAAGGTTCTATGTGTACTACCCTGAGGCATGCTGTAAAACCACATAACTACAGAGCAGCTGGGACTTAATTGTAAGTCATTATTTTGTACTTCTTTTTACGTTTGATCCCAAGACTTTCTCCTCCCACACTGAGACACAGTTGTTTCAAGTCCCCCTACAAACTTGTACGAGATGTTCTTAGTTTTCACAACAACCCGGTTTCACCTGGATGGTATTTTGAGGATCAGAATTAAGCGAAGTGCTCAATATATCACTTATCCTAACTAGATAATGATACTTGTTGAAAGCCTCTATGAGTTGTTACATATTGTCTACAAAATATCCACCTTTGGCAAGCCTTGAGTCTTCTTGTAGCCTTTTTTCTTTTAGCAACGTCATATAGTCAGTGGTGGAAAAGCTTTACAATTTGTGGCAAAATGGGAACATGTGAAGAAAAAATAGACAAGTTTCAAATAAAAAGTGAGTTGGGCTCGGGATTTAGGAGGCACTGGTTTTACCAATCTAAACTTTAATAGTTATCGTATTTACCATATTTAACATTTATAAAATGTGTTCTAACAGAAAATAATCACAAGATCACACATCTGTACACAATCTCAGCGTTCCTTGTCACTGCAGCGATGGTCAATTTCCTTGTCTGTCAGATATGGGATGGCATTCTTCCTCAGGAATTCCTGACAGCTGCTTGTGTCACCCTGCACTCAGACTGTCCTCTCTTCTCAGATGACCTCTTAGCTTAAAATAAAAGCGGCTGAAAAAGGAAAGACATAACAGCAGATCTCAAAATGTTAATATCGGTGGCTGCTCCAATCAAATTGATTTTTACGGGTAATATAGAGCACATGTGACTGAATGACATGGAGCTATAAAAAGGTAGGCCCAAAGAGCTGTGCATAAGGGAGCTGAGAGTAGAGCCCTGAGGAATCCCAGGAATGCGAGCTACATGTTATCAAGCAGGGAAGTTGTCCCATCTGCTACAGTACAGACTCGCCGCCCATGCTCAGTCCTGTGGCACCTCTCTCAGACTGCTGTAAAATCAACCTCTTTTTTCTTAATGCTTTTGTATATAGAATGAATCAGGTTGTGTTTTACACAGCTCAGCATCTGGAGGATAGAAAAGCTTTCTACATGGACCCCAGGCTTGACCATTGAAACAAAACTGTTCAGTAATAATGCAGCCCAGTATTCATCTCAACACCTCCCCCCCCACCCCCTCCTGTGTGACTCGTCTGAGGATAGCTACAATTATTGATGACAGAGGAGAAGATTGTTATGCATAGCCTGTACAGGATGCCATCAGAGACTTGTGATTGGGAACCTTTTGAAAATGTCAAAGTGACACATGATTATGAATATTAAACGGCCATGTATAGCCCATGATTACTTGACAGGAGGAGGGGATTTGACAGATGGAGGACTGTGGAATCTCATTGTTAGCTAAAGTGGTGAAGAGCAACGTTATAGCAACCACAACACGGATAGGATTAACAGAAACATTATGTCTACATTTGTTAACATGATTTTCGGTGATGTTAAGTATTTTATACATTGCCAGACAATTGTTATGAATTACATACTGAGTGGATTGTCAAAGGCCTGTCTTTAAGCAGGCTTGGTTTGTGCGGTTTAGGGTTATGCTTCAGTCATATTTAGCAACACAATTTGTTCACAAAGGGCAGCAAAACAGGATGAAATGTCTGTTTTGAAGCCGAAACTAATGCATGAACAGTTACCATGAGGGAAACATGATCAACATCTCCTCCCAGACAAAAACAATTGTCTAGTTATTAATAAGCACATCATTTCCTGTAATACAACAAAATGTGAATTTTCAAATATGGAAGATGAATTACAACACACTAATAAAACAAAGCATCTAATATTCTGTGGGTGAGAGTTAATACAAAAAAGACTGCATGTCTTCCATTTTGTCATTTCTGAATGCTTCTTTCATTAAAGAGGAAAACAAAGCTAAACTAATACTTGCAAAAAATGATGCAAGTGTGCCTATTCTTATAAAAACACAAGTACTATCCGTAGTTAATTAGATCCAAAGCCATTTTCTACTACAGGAACTTAACATAACTTAACATGTAGCTTCTGTCATTCTTTTAATTTTGTCAACCACTATCCACTAATGCCATTGGGCTGGGGTAGCAGGGGCAATGTAGGGTCTGGTGAAGTGTAATACCACCTGTGTTAGGGCACACTGCACTGTTCAAGAGCCACACATTTGTGCCAAATGTTTTCTAAGTAAATTGTCAATGCTGTATTTATTTCTAATAGAATGTTCTTATTTCCCATGGACCCCCATCTGACTAGCTCCTGGTCTCTGTGTGCCTCCTTATTTAAAAAATCCCGATACCGAGAGTGATCAACCAAGCAGATGTGTCGTCACAGCACAACATAAGCTATTACAACAAACATAACAAAAGCCACTGCCGTTTAACAACTGTATGTATATTGAGCAGGACAATCAAAAAAATAAAAAAAGGTTGCAAGGTTAACAAAGACGTCTGGTTAAAGGAACCATTAATACAAGGAGAAGAAGAAGAGACGACACATAGTAGTACAGTGCTGAAAAAAAATCAAACGGATTAAAAACTAAAATTTGGATCAAAGAGCTGGACCCCTTTCTCACCACCATCAGCAGCAGTGCCCTGGAGCTAGCATGCATGTGCAACATAATCAATAATTTCTCAACTATTTCCATTGTTGTCTGTCCCGCTTCTATGGTGAAGTTAGTATCACTGTTACAGTGTAATACGTATACATTTATAAATTGTAACCCAAGAAAGAAGGCTTAAACTTCCAGATTATATGAATCCAGATGTTACAGGTTGTTAAGTTCCTGCAGTGCATAAGGATAAGAGAGCAAGCTGACCTTCAATGATGCAGACGGACATTATTATGGATGAATAGATAAGTCTCTTTTTATTTTTCATTCCCACTCGGCCATTTTGTGCTCTTTTGTGTCTTTGTCCCGCCCATTGAGGATTAAGCGTCCCAGTAAGAATATTTCAGCTTTCCAGAGCAATTTTTTAAATTAAACTCTGAGCCATCCTTACCCTACATTTAATCGATAAAAACTGCCACACTGCAATAAAACTCCCTACTTTCTTTCTAACTATTCCAATTTTCCTTTTTCGCCCCACGGATCAGCTCAGCTCTATGTGCTGCTCAGTCATGTGTGCAAAAATGTTAAAGTGTACATGCAAACAAACAAACAAACACACACACACAGTCACACTCACACAGGGTCTGAACTGTAAATAGCTGCTAGACTTTTACAGTGGTACTGGCTCACAAGCTGACGGAGATGACTCGGCAAAAAATAAAATTCTGTTTCTTATTGCTTATGTCAGCTTAAAGTTATGATGCTAACCAAAGTGGATGGTGGGCAGAAATGATTTGAATAAGAAGTACAACCATGTCATAACTGAAAACATCATTCAACTCTCATCCAGGTTTTGAGTGTTGAAAAAAAGCATAAAAGGAAAAGATGTAGATAATAGTATATCACAATCCATACAGTCCATGTGTGTCAGCTGGACACATGTATTGATGTTTGGCAGTCTGACATATCTGTAGATCATAAAGTGTTCAGTAAATGCTACAATCGTGATCGTTATTGTTGTATAAAAGTCTTCTCTGAAATGTATAAATAACTCAAATTCATATTACATAAGTTATATATTAACTGAAGATAAACAACAACCATTGAAACAGAACTTTATAACTTTCTCCTTTTAAAGTTTTATATACAGGTACAATGCTACTCTCTAACACCTTAACCACAGAGCAGACAGTTTATCAAAGATGCTGCTAGATCTTCTAAGCCAAGGTCATACAGTATAGCCTAAATAACCCCCCTTGTATCTCTGATGGATGAAGCATGAGTGAGATTACTGTAAGTATTCTCATCTTGTATACAATATAGAACATATACAGTAGATAATAGTATCTCTTTAAATAATGACATAATGTGTAACGACATGTCATGGTACAGAGTGTTTTCCATGAAGGAATAGATGGAGGAGAGGATACAAACAAAATAAATCTGAGCTTGATAAATAAATAATCGGAGTATAAACTGGATCAAGTTGACATGCGGTCCTCCTGTCGTTCTTTGTGATCATGTACCGAAAACCAGTCCTGAAAACACAAAGACGTGTTCGTGTGAAGCTGGACGAAGATGAGAGGGGTCCAGAGAGAAAAATGAAAAGCGGTGTCCAATTTGTGCCTAAATACTGTACGTACAAGTGCTTTGTTAGCAGCACGAGTTTGGTGTTCGACTTTGGCTGTAGCTTTTCACTGGTGACAGCAAAGGAGCGACGCAAACGCCGAGGCTCTGTAATTGATCTGAACACAGACAGCTTTTATCTTTTGGTGTCACCAGGACAGGGGACGTCGGTTGGCTCTAGCAGGCGAAGTCCTCAAACACCCCATGGTGCCCGGGGCGATGGTGGTGAGGGTGCGGATGGTGGTGGTTGGGGAGGATGGTGTTGGCATACGCCCCCTCTGGGTGACTCCGTGGCATGTCATTGGGCTCCTGCTGAGGGCACAGCAAACACGTCAGCTTCAAAGAACATGAGTAACGTGACAATCTAAGACGAGAATGTACATTGAGAATAATCTATTGACAGCCATTCAAAACCCTGACAGCAGTGAAATAAGTTCATCCTGCGGTAGATATCATGTCATATGTAATTTAAAGTGAAATATTTTGGGATCACTCCAGGTAGTTAAGCAATAAGCAATACGTCCAGCTTAGCAAGAAGACTGGAAGCAGCCTGGTTCTGTCAACATTTTCAGAAGAGAAAGTACAAAATGAAGTATTCCCTATAAAATGTCATTATTTGATATAAAAGTTGAAGGCGATATTAATCCAGTGTAATAATACTGTATGTCATGTTTCATAATGCATCCAAAAAGTTGCAGGATGATATTAAAATGTTTATTTTCTCAGCTGTAACTTTTTGATAATTCAGTGAGATGTTGAGGGCAACACTTACAATTGTCCATGGAAGCAATGGAGAAAGATATTTAGGTAAATAGTAGCTGAGAATAAATTACTTCTTATTTCTCTATTTTATTTTCAGGTATCAGAGCTGAATGTTTTTCTGTGAATTGACAATGAATTCTCCTATAGGCACTGGTGTTTTCTTCCCATAGTCCAAAACTAATTGTATTTCTGCATCTCTACTGGAATATAAATTGTGACACACCAGGCAAACCTAATGAAAGCTGCAGATACTGAACAGCAACAGAATAAATGCTCTTTTGTTTTCCACTGGCTGGCTGGCTAGAAATGGAAAACCTGTTTTGGTTTATCATGTGGAATTGAGACACAGTGATGGTAGATAAGACAAGGGGTGTATTGTTCAGATTTAAGTTGCAACATCAAATCCAAGCTCCAGGGGAGGACATGCTTTCCTCCGTGGTTAAGACTAATTGGGAACAGAACATTAGTAATCATTTTAGAATATTAATAATGATTGTCTTGAAGTTTCCTCATGCTGTTACAGTGCTGCAGGGGAAGTTGTGTACTGGGTAGAACAGCAGCTATTTGTTAGCGTACAGTGTGTGGTACCTTTGCTTTCATCTCCTCGAGGCCCACTGTTGCAACAGTGCTGGGCTGCTGCTTGCTCTTCTTCTGCTCTTTCTGCGGCCTCAGCAGACGTTGTAGCCGTTGCTTGATCACCTGGTTTTACCCAGCAGCGGGGAGGGCGAAAAGAGCAGAGATGAGCGGGGGAGAGGCGGCAGAGTGAGGAGTTCATTACTGTGATGTCTGCATTACAGCCCCTCGCTCTGATTTTGCTTTATTCCTACATGTGTGGCAGTTAGCAGGCTGGAAGCTGAGGAAGGCGTTCATTTTATGATCTGGGTTAGTATGACGTCCTCGGCACAGACCTGAACGGGAATTACTTTCGGCAGCCTGGAAATCAAATAAAACTCCTCACATGCATAACAAATTATGCTAGTCTGATTGATTTTCTGATGCTCAGGATTAACAGTGATATGTACGGAAGAGGATTAGGGCCACATAAAAAAATTTTTTGTGAGGATTTTAAAAAAAAAAAAAATTTTTTGGGAGAAAAAAAGGCAGAATTCTGACTTTAATCTCAGAATTCTGACTTTTTTCTCAGAACAAAAAAAAAACATTTTATTTGGGAGAAAAAAGTCAGAAATACCGGTAACTAGAACCAGCTTCACTGCGATTTACACATTGCAAATGGTTGTAAAATGACTTATTATGGTTTCCTCTTGGACCCCTCTGGCGCGCAGAAATGCACTCACGTCCTCCATTGTTGCCTACTGCAATGTGTAAATCGCAGTGAAGCTGGTTCTACAGTTACCGGTATTTCTGAGAAAAAAGTCAGAATTCTGAGATTAAAGTCAGAATTCTGACTTTTTTCTCAGAACAAAAAAAAAATTTTTTTTTTTCAAATCCTCACAAATTTTTTTTTTATGTGGCCCTAATCCTCTTCCGTAGATATGTACCCCGCACAAACACATTTTTCACAAATGTAGTCTTTTCTCTAACGGTATAACGGTTTCTCTAACGGTATAACGGTCCGTAACACATCTCTTGCTGGAGGAAATAGCTGTTTATTATATGTATCAGATTAGTTCTGATCTCACATTGTGATTGGCTGGTATGTGTTTGCAGGCACTATACCTCATAGACATAATCCAGTATTTCTAGGATTGACAGGATGCTGGCTCCAATGAATAAACCCATCTGTCCACCAATGTCCCCTGAAAAGAAACAGCCATAGGAAGCAGAAAATGTTAAAGCAGTTCATGTTTGTTATTCAGAAACATATGTGCAGCTACTGTAAAGACACATTTCACTCAGCATCTACAATTCACTTTATATATTCTGAGAAGAGGTAATAAAGTGACAGAAATCTCACCTAATAAACCCGCAACATCGTAGGCTTTCTTTTGCTCAATTGTTTCATAGTTCAGAGCTTCAAAGAAGATATCTAAGACCAAGAAGTTGTCTCTGAAAAAGAACAAGAGATGGGCGGGTGTCAAACGCAGTGAAATACAATTGCACTGTTTTTAAAATTCACTACAAATCTAACATCATTTGAGAAGTACCACTCCCAGTCATCTTTATGCTCACTGTAAATTGTTATGATGGGACTGTCAGGCCTACAGCACTCTACACAGATCTACCCAGAGATTGTGAGATAATGAGGTGTTTCAGGGTTTAACTGAGACGAGCAGAACGAGCACAGACAGCTCAGTCACCGACACATCTCTGATGTCTCCGGATTTAGAAAGTCTGCTCACATTAAGTGTTCCGAGCTCTTTAGTTTAAGCATGTTGACTTTCTACCACTTTCTTGTCTATTAATCACTGAGAGGAATTACAGTATAAGCACATTGTAAATGCATCAGGTTGATTATTATCTGCATATTAGTGATGTTCATTGTTGTAGAACAGGATTAAAAAGTCAAATCCCTGCCTGTTTGACAAATGAATCCGAGCAAATTGCCCCATTTACTAACCTCAGTGGTAGAAAGTGATTAAGTACATTTACTCAAGTATTGTACTGAAGTCCTATTTTTGACATATTTGTACTTTACTCAAGTATTTCCATTTCGTGTTACTTTATACTTCTACTCCACTTCATTTTAGAGGCAAATATTGTCCTTTTTACTCCACTACATTTATTTAACACTCACAGTTACTTATATAAAACACATGATATGCTGATATTGTATAATGCAGTATAGTAGTACTGGTCTACACGTATCTTAATTTGCTCCACATTGGCCAACTACAATACAAAAATGCCATTACATGTATAAAAGCATCATAACCAAAATAATCTCATACTGTGAAAACATCCATTCTGCATACTACTGAGTACTTTTACTTTTGATACTTGTGCTTATTCTGAAAAGGGCCATTGTGCAGCATGAGTACTTTTGATACTTATTTGTAGTTTTACATTTTTAAATCACTCACTTGGAGTGGATTACTTAAAGACCATAGTGTATGTACTTTTACTTAAGTAAAGGATCTGAGTACTTCGAACGCTGACTTGCTGAAGCTGCTACAAAAGTAACTACAGACAACAATCATCTGTGCAGACCAGATTCTACAATATTGCGATGGAAGTATTTAAAAAAAATAATATATATATATATATACAAGCACAATGTCAAATAATTCTGTGTAAAATATTCAATGGGGATTGAATTGAAGATTGGACCTTCTTTGACATTTGGACTGTTTCTAGTTTGGTTTTGTGTGTAGTGCTAAAAACATGAAAGTAATGAAACTATTTTAATAACATTTGCAGTTTGATGATTTAGAAAAAAAGAATGTCTAATCTAATCTAATGCGAGTACTGGGACAAAACCCTTCTTGATTGTATCCCTTTAATGGAGTATCTATTACATTAGATATTTTTGTGTGACAGTCTGACCATGAAGAGTTCAGATTAAATGTGTTGTTTAATTTAAAGTAGAGCATCAATTCACCCAAAGTCAAAACATAAACTGATGCTTGTACTGTAAACATGTAATCGACTTTTGTTAATATTTATGGGTGGGTTTCTGTTATCACACACCGGAGGTCATAGTTTATGGCCCATTTTATGAGGCAGCACATCACTGCCCGCACGAGAGTTTAGTCTGGTACCTGATGTAGTCCTCTGACTTGTCGTATTTCCTGGAGAGATAGCGAGCAGAGCCTTTGCTGGGGATTTTGACCATGGAGAGCTCTTTACCGTAGCGCGTGAGATTACAAGGCGTCTCGCATGGACAGGTATCCCCAGTGTTCTTCTGTAGCTGTGCTGCAACACAATGGAAACAGTTTAACAGCTAAAGACTGGATCAGTTAAGGTGACCATTTGTTGGCCTTCTACCAGAGAAACATATAGGATACTTCACAGAATCAAACACTTGCTGCAACAAATGAAAAAGTAGAATGGAAAGGGAATGTGTCCTATAAGAATACTAATACTTTTTTAGTACTTGGGTGCAGCAGAACAGGCTGTAAACACAACATTTGCACACTATTATCACCCCATAAAGAAGTAATGGCTATAGTAAAATGTGCAATGTTGTAGCTGTGTTTATGGCCACTTGGCAAGTTTAAGTCCGATTTTCACTTTTCATTTTCACTGTTTTCTATGTGGTTATTTACGTGCTGAATTCTATGTTTACCATCTAGCTTAATTTGTCTGTGTGTTATTGATGCCAGACTGGTAGAATACAATGCGTTTATACCCAATACTACATCACTAAAAACAGCAATGTGCTACAGCTGTAAACAAGGCTGAAGATAGCGGAGGGTCAACCAAACAGTAAGACCAAAACAACTAGCTAAAAGATGCTAAAATGGTCTAGTGCATCGGGATAATTATTTGTGGGTTTGTCACTATGAGCGACAGATATGATTATACTGTATAATATTGATTGGTGTAACTTTAAAGTTTCAAGTTGAAATACTTTTTATACTTTTCTTATTGGTTTGCAGGCGTCCGTGTAACAACACTTAATTCACAGTTCCAGCCAACAGTTTATCCACCACGAACATTAGACAGCAGGTAACCATAGCAACAGTTTTTATGAGACATGTAAAGCTACCTGACAAATATAAGTGTGTGCTGATGGACAACATTTTCTATATCTCAGCTGATAGAGATAATTAGGCTTTTTCTCCGATGCTTCTCCAGTACAGATAGGAGGGCTAAAATGTGTATTTTTATCGAAAAAAGGAGCAGTCAGAGCTCATTATCATTTAATTGTATTACTTCATATGCTCAGAAAATTACTAGCAGTTAATGTTTCTCCCAGATGTATAGGTCCTTTTGAGGATGAACAAATTCATTACAGCTTTTGAATGGAGAATCAACAGTTTTCAGAAAATCATTTAGCGGATAAAATGTGCACAAAATCAGGTTTTAAAGGCTTCTCCAGCAGTGGTCTCTAACGTAGTAGAAACAGATAACATAAGATTAACAGACCAATATCATTTTGGATAGAAACATGATTTGTTACTCTAACAATATTATTTCAGACAATTACTGTGTCAAAAGTGTTAACGGCAATATAATTACGACATTTGTTTTGATAATGAATGATGACGATGCCAAATGCATACGTAGACTTATACACTCAATTAACTTGGAGGCAGGAATTGCTCACACGTTTACAAATCCATATTCAAAACCCTAACTCTGAAACAACAGTGAGTACACAGGGGAGCAAATAGCTTTTCCAAATCTCTTTTCAAATTCTAAATGCATTCAGTCCAGACAAAGGCGGGAGAGGGAGCACTGAAAGCAGTAATTACAAATTGATGATTTATGTATTTTATAACTCTAACAATAAGGTCATGTGTATGCAGAAGCACGCTGGCAAATTATCATTGTCTGGTACAGGAACAAAACACCGTACAATATAAATATATAAATGATATTCTAATTTATTACCTTTCATGGAGGGTGAATGTATTCACGCTATTCGATTCAGGAAAATGACCCACATGAATATGGTCCTCTCTTGTGAGATATATCTAAGATTTCATTCAACCATATTCTAAATAGGTTTCTGACTCACCAAAGAGAGACATAATTAAATTCCTGGCTTATTTAGCTGGGAAATGATAATTGTGACCAATTCTTTTTTTACCGCCTTTGAAACCAAGGCACCTTTGTTCAGTCACGATGTGAGGTGGAGGAGAGAGAGGCCGGAGTCAAAGCTAAAGGATGGTGGTGGGGGGGGGGGGTGCAGATATACAGGAATGGAGAGTGGGTTTAATATTAACAGTCCAACAATGGAGGCAACACGGCCATCAAGCTCTAAAGTGACTAAATCACAATGGGGAAAAGTAATTTAGAAATATAAAGTCTACCTCTAGGTATTTGTATTACAGGAGAAAAAAAAAGTCCTTATCATATTTACTGAGTGTGTTTCCATTTCCCTTTGGGGGAATCTATTGTAATGAGAAAAGAAATGAAGGAAGATTGTTTCTTACCGAGTGCTTTGTCAACACAGTTGATTTTACTGGGAGGGCAGATATCAGCAGTTCCTGGAAAGGGGAACAGAAAATGAGTCTGATCAATCAGAAACAAAATGATCAGTGACCGGCGTCCGCAGCCATGAGGAGCCTCGGCTGTGAACATTGCTCTGCAGCTTATTAGTCATCTTCAAATGAGGCCAGGCAGGGTGACTTCCATCCACGGAGCGCGAGTCTATTGGACGTCCGTCCTTTATTGCAATAGAGAAATGGAGCATGCTGGCTTCACACATAATGCATTTTTACAAAGTCTTTAAAAATCAATCAATGAGTCATTACCTCGCAGACAAACACACTTTCGGGGCCATTAATGACAGGTATTCATCGGCAGCACAATTAATTGGCAGAGGTGTGTTTGTCTGTCTGTAAAATGTTCACGTGGTTAATGTCTTGTGGAAGTCTCCGTCCCAATCAATAAGAAATGTTAATTAAACAGTGAAATAATGTCTGATGATCTAAGGAGGGAGTCTATTGACATCAACAGAACACAGTTTGATTGTTTCTATCATAGCTATAGCCAGCAATGATGTGACACCAACTAAACCGTCATTAAAGATGATTGATTGAAGAAAATAAACAACTTTAAATCATCTCGTGAATTATATTTTCTAGACATTTTGAGAGTGGAGGCATAAGATGAGTGCTATCTCTGCATGCTGTCCACACACTTAGAACAAGAACAACTTAAAAGCCTTTTTTTTGGTGGTCACCCAAATATAGATACAGGACGAAATGCTGAAATATTCATCTTAAACCCAAACATCCAGGAAAACACAGTTTTGCTTCTATGCCTCGCAGTACAGAAGTAATGAGCAAAAATAGAAAATGCTTTAAAAATAGCCACCTCAAAAACTTATTTTTTTAATGTATGAAGTGTTTTTTGTGATATCCAGCTAACAAACAAAGCTGCATAAAAATGCCACCAGAAAAACAATCTATCGGCCACAGCAAGAACGAGCTGAGTACAACACAAACTGCTATTTAATTCAGTGTCCCAACCACAAACCCCAGACAACACAATTTAACTCGTACAAAAGACTGGAAAAACCAGAAGCAGCAGACTGTAAAGAAATGTGGGATTATGTAAACACATGCTGATAACAATTTGCTGGCATGTTAAGTAGAGTGCAAACAGCTGCTGGATTATGTAAGTGTGTATGAGTAAGAAATGGATAACAAACATTTTTGTTGTTATCCCTCAAGAAAAGTGAATACAAATTTGAGCAAACACTAAACTGTAGCATCACACTGTACTTCGCACTGCTGGATAATAAAGAAATTGGAAGTGTAAATTGTGTTTAGCACAGCGCAGTGCATCTCAATTATACAGTACTGCGTTATCACATGGGGTAGTAAAAAGATTTTCAATCATGAGCTGGCCTCATGCTCCTTTGGCTTGCTTTATAAAGAAATCTCAGCACTTAATATGCAACAATACATTTGATTCACTATTGATAAGTGCAGGGAAATAATGGGAGCTTCCAGCAACCTAACAGAGGCCTGTTCTGAAGCCAAACTGGGCAAATGGCCTAGAAAAGCTCCCACATTTATTTGATCTGATATAATAAATATCATATCTGATGTCATACATCATCACGGAGCAAAGTAGTTCTGCTGCTCTGTGAACAGACCTCTATATCTATTAATTCAAAACGTTCCCACTCAATAGTCCTTTTTCTGACTTGCGATTGATTGGTGAGATGGAGGGCTTTTCAAAAGGTTATGATCTTAAACCATGGGCATGATGGGTTTGGTATAGGAGCCATCTTAGCTGGTTTTCCCCAAATCCTGAGTTCATAGCTTATTAAAACACAATCACGATCTTGTAGCGCGGTAGTAGGTACTGTCACCTGCAGAGCACGCAAACTGATTAGTAACGTGTCAGCTTCACAGCCTGTCCAGATCTAACAGACTCCTGCGTACACTGCCTTAACTTTCAATGAGACCACCTCAAACATTCACTTACAGTATCATAACAGCCGACAACATTCTGCCTTCAGTGACTCAGCTCTTTGACTTCATGCAGCAAGGCCAGGATGACGCAAATGCTGAGTAAGTCCAAACTTCTTATTCTGTGTGTTCAAATCACCTCTGCAACGTATCCCCGAGCTGAACACAGAAACGGTGTAAATGGCGGAAGTAGAGTGACCATCATCTTACCTGACGCAAACAACTTAGTGCCGTGCTGAATCTGAGTCTGTTTGATCATCATTCTGCTCAGCTCATTGCATCACTGCTAATGTACCTCTGAGATATTCTGCTGGATTGATTTTTTAAGTTTGGTCCTGTGTTGCATTAAGTCATTTTCTGGGCGTATTTCAATCTGGATTTAAAGGAGATTGTCAATTTATGCAATCTTATATCTTGTGTTCTAATGTTTTATTGTCATAAGGGTTACTTTTTATAATTCTACATAGAAGAGGACGCGTAGAAAATGTGTTCTTTATCTAAGTGTGTCCTCGTAATGATAGCCAGAATAAGAAAACACACATAATGAAACATTACTTCTGTGCCACATCTTCGTAATCAGGAGAGGCAATCTTTCATTGTGTAAATCAATACTAAATTAATCCCATTCAAAGGCAGGGGTTCTCAAAGCTGTTTGCAAACCTTCTTACCAGCGTGACCTTAAGACGAGAACCAACCAGGAATGATAGAAAAATAATCAATCAAACTAATGAATGAGTGCCACAGGAGAACACTCCCCTAACAGCTGAGATGTATGAACAAATGGATGCAAAAGTCATGGAGAGTATCCTGTAGTCTGAAGAGTTACTGTCCAGAGAGCGGCTGCTGAAGAGCATTCCACTCCAGATATCAAGCACGAGGTCAGGCATGTGGCAGCCCAAATGATGTCTGTGCTGGAATTAGTCAAGTGTGCTAAACTGGGCTGGCTGTTATCTAATCACGCTAGACTAAACCATTTTAAAAACAGAGGGTAATACTTGAAAACACTCATTCCTTTCAGGGTTTTATACTTTCCCAATGAGTCACTTCTTACTGTATATGCCGTGTGATGACATTGAATTTGAAACATATAATACCACAGAACATGAAGAATATTAGTGTGGGTGTGTTTTTCAGTTACAAACATTTTGTTCTTTGTTCAGTTATCAGTTTCTTTTTAATTCTCAGTCACTGTTGTAACAATACCAACTTATGTCGCTAAGTACATTAAATCCAGTATTGTACTTAAGTGTAACTTCGAGGTACTTATACTTTACTTGAGTATACAACAATTCAAAAGGTAACTATTCTAATTCTTACTTTGGTATGTTTATTTTACACTATTATTTTAAGAATAAAACATAATTGCATAAACAACACAAGGGTTTATAAAATATTTAATTGTTCAAGTATTATTAGTTGATTAATCAAGATAATTAATTCGCATCCATAAACAAAACAAACCAAATTATTTAAGTTTATTTTAAATAATTTTGAGTTTTTTAATTTATTTTGGATATTCTGCATTGGATACTTTTGTGTTATTTGCTTTAATTACAATTTGTTGATTGTGCTAATAATTTTTACTTAAGTAACATTTCCAATGCAGGCGTTTTACTTGTAACACAGTATTACTACTGTACAGTGCATACAGTACTTTGACTTAAGTAAATGATCTTAATACTTCTTCTACCACTGATAACTTCACATTAATATGACTGCATGAATGAATTAGGGATTTTTGTGCACATATAATGATTTTCTCCACATGCTAGCTGCTGGGCTCTGTGTAGATGTGAGGTTGGGGGTCTTACCGGGCATGTGCACCATCCTGCAGCCGCACACGCGCAGCACCTCGTTGGTCTCGCAGAGCAGGCGGCAGGCGCTGATGCTGTACGTGTCGTATCCCGGGAACTTCTCTTTGCTGGTGGAGCGGCAGTTCCCCCAGGGTTGGGGCAGGTAGGTCAGCTAAGCACAGAGATTTATTAGACCCCGAACTGAATGACCAGGGGCCAATGGTTGCATTGAGTAATTTTGTAGGGGGAGGGAAGCGGGGGGCTGTGATGAAGACAACCTACCCTCTGCTCCTGACATGAAACAAAGGTCTGGAAGCCCGGAGAGACGCCAAAGCCCAGCTGGTGGATGTAGGGGGGCTCGTCCTGACTGTGGATCTGGACCCGGATGCCGGCCTCCAGGGATGTCTCATCTTTAGGATGAAACAAACCGGAGCACAGAGAATTCAGACGGCGGCCTCATCTGACAGCTTGGACTCAATTTGACACTAACAGCAAACCATATTTGAAAATGCAGGACGGTAGGGATTACTATCATGTGACAACTATGCAAACACACATCTGATGTAGTGTATTGTGTTCAGGACCTTCCTCTTACAAATCACATTTTCCAGGTTGCAGAAATGCAATCAAAAAATGCATTATTTACGGTGTGTGACCCGGGAAATTGAATGCAGGTTATTTTAAAGCCCAGCAGAGCTATCTCATGCCGTAGCATATGATGGGATTACACTGGACAAATAGTTTTGTGGCTTACTTGTTTCTCTCCAGATGGGCAGATACTCATCCTGCTGAATATCCAACATGATCTCCAACCCATTTCCCATTCCACCCTGCTTGCTTTTCCTGGATGTCGTCCTGTTGCCATTAAAAGTGTAGCATTTCCCATATCTGGTGTACACCTGGAAGAGAATAGATTTCCATCATGAACATCACCTTAAACATGACAAAGTCCACATGCTGACAAGATCAACCTATGACGAATTGCAATGAAGGCCCCGATGTGGAAGAAAACAAAAATATATATGCGAGTGTCTGCTTGAGCAAATGACTCAATATTACCAACAAACCTCCGGTTGCAGTCTGCCGGCTCGGTCCCTCATGGACTTTGATAAGCTGTCTTTGAATGAATTCCAAACACCCACCACACATACCCCGCACACTGCTGCTCAATTGTACTGCTATCCCACTGAAATATCAAATGACATAAGAGATTATTTAATCTTCCTTCAAAAGAAAACAAAAGATAATAAGAGAAAGGCCTCACGTCACCCCCCATCAGAGGAGCTGTCTCTGTGGGGAGAACATCATCTCTTTGCTTATGCTCCTCATCTAAACTGCTGCACTGCAGAACATGCACATCTTACAGATCATTTATCCGCTATCTCCTGTGAGTTTATAAATGGGAACAAAAGGATACTGTAGATCCACAAATAAAATCTAAAACACAGGGGGGAGGGGGGGCATGCCATCAATCCTAAATTGACTGAGTTAAATATATTAATAAAAAGAAAACTAATAGTTAATATTTTTTAGATCCTTATTAAGAATTGATGACATTATAACGTACATTTAAACACAATTGTTTCAGGATCCCTCTAACACTGAGCATCAAATCAGCATCAACTGATCTTTTTGGCCAGCTGGGGGCAGTAAAAACTAACTTTAAAACACATCGACATATTATGAGCTATAATTTAGGTGTTTGGAGTATTGTATTATTATTAGGCCTTCTCTAAAAAGTGGGAAGAAATGACTAAATGTTCAATATTGTAAATTATTTTGTAAAATAGCCAACAAAGCAGCTTGGCTTCATTGTGATTGACAGAACTCTATGAGGTTGTCATCTGTGTTTTCTGTATTTTGGCACTTTAACCATTTCATAGTTAGTATTAAGGTTATAAAAGCAAGTTGTAACCTTTAGATCGACTAAAATGGACTTGTTCGGCGGTTAGTGAGCGGCCAATTACATGAGGGCATAAACCTACAAAGAACCCCGTCAGAGGCATAACCTAATGCTCAAAATGTACTCACAAATCAGATTACATTAATATTATCCAAGTGTTTTGTGAAAAGGCTTAAACTAGAAAGAACAGTCTCAAAATGTGCTTGGTTTATTCTGGCTTTAGGGAAAATATACTTTTGAGAATGATATGATGAATTAACTTCAGTGTTATGAGCCCTGCCACACATGCCAACATCTAGCCTATCATCAGAGTAAAGCTTTTTCCGATACATTTTTCACATTTACAACACGGCATAATACATCTAATCACAGAGAAAAGTCATCTATTGAATTCATTTGGTCCGAACATCAAATAGAAAGGACAGTGATGAAAGTATAAAAGCCAGAAGCAATCAAATGGCAGGAGAGGTCAACTGACGAGGCGCTGGAGAAATGACAATGGAGCTGAATAGACGGCAGACATATCATCAAAAGAGACACTGCGACAGTCCCAGCATTCTCCAAAACGCCAACATCTGTGCTCTGACTTTGATATCAGCTTGATCCACCTAATGAGTGCTGTGATGTTTAAATAAGGGACGTTTGCGGAACAACAGACACTCTCATTTACATACCACAGGGTGTACACATCTGAGATGCTTGAACAACAAATCAAAGTCACGGTTGTAGGGATCAGTCCAGTAATTCCCTGGAACAGTGGCAATTTAGCAATATCAACAACAGTGATTAGAGCAAGAAATGAGTACCATTTACAAAAGCTCGGTGTTTAGAAGGACAGCTGTATTTTCCACAATAAAAGCCCTCGAGGCTTTTGATCTGGCTGTGTGTGCACAGGTTTGTATTGGGAGAGTTTTTGAATGCTTTGCAGATGGTTACCTTCAAAGTGCGCTTTAACAAGCCATAGCCCGCTCGGGTAGTCCGAATCAGAGTCAAATCTATACTTATTGTAGCTTTTCTATTAAGTGTGGTTCGGTCTCACACTGCACAAATTAAACCAGACTATACAAAAACAAGAATTTAATAAAGGGAATTTAATAAAGGGAATTTTCAAAGGCGCAGTACTGAAAATGAATTTAGAATATTTTTTTGATCGCTTAGAAATTTGGCGGTGGAAGATGTACTGTACACTGAATTCAACAAACATGGAGAAAACCATTAACCAATTACAAAAAATGTGATGCAGTCTAATAATATTGATAATATTCTTTTGTGCGATCTTTGCGAAACTAAAAAACAATATCATACACATCTTAATCATTAAAGTGATTTATAACCTTGGCCCTTCACTAAAATAGATTTTGGTTCCTGATAACAAAGAGCATAAATGCAAAACTGAAAAATAAACAAGTCACATATCAGTTTGTACTAGTTCATGTTTACTCATCTGATTCCATTGTGAAAAGTCAGTATAAGAGGGAGCTGGACCAGAACTTACAGACACTAATATATATTTGTATCCCTTGGTCCGTACCAAATGAACAGGTGTGAAAACAGCCGTAGTTGAGGATTAAGAGAGATGGCAGACCTCAGTTTACGCTTTGAGCAGCACACAGGGGTCTTAAACATTATTTAATTTAATTATGATAGTGACTCTAATAGTGCATTTATTTTTAAATGGCAGCCTCTTTTCAGCTCTTGTAATTAAAAAAGGGGAGGTGGCAAAGTGGGGGCCGGGGAGAAGTATCCAAGTGTGACTTTTGACTGACATGTGCTATTAGGCTGAAATGGTTTAATCTCTATTTGGCTGGTGCGGAGCAGTTGAGGAGGTAAGCTGCACTTATCATTGATCCTCCCCCCAGTTCATTGACACACTTAAGCCTCTGCAGTCAGACTTTATCTGATGGAGAAGGCAACAGAGGCAAAGGAGGATTTCACTTTAGAAATGCTCCAAACACCCCGACCAAGCGTCTGGGTTTCGCTCTAAAACTTTGGGCTCTGGAGGACGACGTTGTTGACGTTGTGTTCACAAATGATATCCCCAGAGAGTACGGCGAAGTTTTCTCATCATCTCACCCAGCAAATGGATGTTTTCTGAGCTTCCACTGGTTTATTTCACTGCCTCTGAACCCCCCACTCTTCTCTGTCTGCATCTGCAACATGATTGATGGAGCATTTTTCCCTTGTTACATCTTTCACCAAATTTAGCAAAGGTAACAAGGCTGAGTTGGGCAATTCCCAAGTGGGGACTTGGCACTGCTGTTGACAAGCTGAAACAGAGCAGCAGCATGGCAGTTACAAACCAAATGAAAAGGGCCTTTGTAATCCTCTGAGTCACTCAAATTGTTTACATGAGGTCATTATTGCAGCACTTTATAAAGAATTGTCAAACATTTCAATGGTTATGGAAAAAATAGATCCAAACATTACCAATTGGTTTAGAACCAGTTAATCTCTTGCTCATATATTCAGTCTGGACATCCAGAGCCCAAGACTATTTGGATTGGTTTAGAACTCAGCAGGCCAAAAGGATTGTATTTGAGCCCTCTCATGTGTTGAACTCTGAGTTTGTGCTATGGAAGTCGGCACTGGGTCCCCTTTTATCAGCACGATTGTTATAAACACTGATAAATTGGCAGCTCACGGAGGCTTGTTACCATGTGAAGTGTCACATGATTGGTTGTGTTTATTTATGTACTAATAATAATAATAATAATAATAGTAATATTGGGAGGGATGAAACCCTCTTTAAATGCAGAACACACAGTGAAATGTGTTCTCTGCATTTAACCAATCCTAGTAAAGTGTGTATGTTCTTGAGATGAATGATTCAAATGTGTGTAGTTCTTCATCGGGAGACTAGCATGTGATTAATGGCTAGTTGTTTTATTTATCTCTGTATAAATGTGCTCTGGTCCTGATGCAGCAATTTCCCTTCTTCAAGACTATTTTTTCTCATTGTAGACTAAAGTAACCTTAAACATTTCAAACCTAAACCCTTTAACTTATTAAACGTAATATTCACGTGATATTATATATCTGTTATGTACTGTATGTACAGTACTTGTATCATTTTATTATTCTGTTTTTCCATATTGTAATTCTGATTTTCAAGGACGGATCCCACTGGCCAAATCTGAGTAGCAAATAGCTTGAATGATTAATAATTTGGTTGTTTATTATGTATTAATATAGGTTTACATGCCTTGTACGTCATGGGAGTTCCACGCAGGACCCTGAAACCAAAGTGGCCAGAGGTATTTCAGACATTAACATATTATTATATACACTTCTGCTTTTTCTAAAGTGACATTTATAACTTTTAAACGCTGTATATTGGTTTTCGAGGCCTAGTTTTTCTGGTTTTACGACCTGAAGGGAATTGTTTTTTTCTTTCAGTGTTTGGCTTCAACGAACAGCAGAACACATCTGCTGAATAAATAAACAGCTAACAGTTTTGCTAACAAGTTCACCCAAACAATTTTATGGCTGATAATATGCTGCTTATAGTTTGTTTTGACTGCCCCCCATTGGCCAACAAGATCAGTTGAAGCTGGTTTGACGCTAAGTGTAACATAGGGATCCTGTGCAAATATAATTAAATTTAAAGTACCAAATGCATTGAGATGGAGCCCAGCAACCAACTTTGGAAAGATGCCTGACTTCCTGTCATTTGTACATGTATCTCACCAATTAAAGCATAACTACCTTAAATGCCAATTCATAATGTTTCTTCGCCAGTGTTTTTTTCTTCCCAAGTGCCTTGTTTTATTCTCTGTCTCTCCATGCTAAATGCATTAAGAGACCAACCCCATACCATGTAATTCATAAGCCCTTGTGGGGGGGAAGCCTTTAAACCCCTCTTTATGACCGTGATCTGCCTGTCCCCTTTTAAATAACATGCAGGAATCATTTCAGTGCTTCTCCAGAGGACATCCATTTCCAGGCAGACTGCGTGTCAACCGGTAGCTCTCCGAGTATGAGGAAGGAGGATTTGAA